CCCAGGCTGAATGCTGTATCATGACACAAGGATAAATCCACCTTGCCTAAGCAAATAATCAGATTTCAGGCTGTGCGTTGCTGCTATGTCACAATAGGATGGAAGTGTGGCTCTCCAGTTCTGGATTGATATTATATACAAGAAATATTTAAAAACTGGAAGTACTTAATAAGAATAAAAAAGGGTGCGATACCTGAAATGAATTTGGATTGCATGGATCTAAATACATCCACAGGTGTCCAAAGTGAGCTATTTTTTCACTTCAGATGCAACTCATCTCTGCTACTTGACTCTAAATAGCTAGAGAGAACTTCATCTACTGTGCCCTCGAACTGTGTTTTCCTTAAGTACTTAAAATCATGGCATAGTAACAATTCTGCAAAGTCTCTGGAGTAAGAGCAATGGCACAAGATGTTGACTGGTCATACTATAAACTTTGAAAATCCAAGCAGGTAAGAATCAAGTAAGCCAGTTTTCAGATCATGAAATAGTTAAAGAAAAGACTGTTTACTGATGGCATTCTGCTTGGAACGAAGAACCAAAAACTAGTTATATATGTTTGTTTCCCACTAGGTGCAAAATGAACTTGCTAGGAGAATACAGTGTTTAATACAGAAATAAATATAAATATGCAGTTGATTTCTGAGACTTTCATGGAAATAAACAAAAGGACACAAAAAGAACCTAAAAGCCTTAAAAGGAATAAAAATATTGTAATGTGGTTCTTTAAGGTGCTATGAGATGATCTCTTTATCATGTAGCACTGGGAAGGTGAGACTTGGCTTCTCTAAGAAACAGCAGTAATCTTTGCAACCCAAGTGAAATGTTTTCAGGTTGTTTTAATTATCTACGTAAGACACAGCATTCTTTATCCAAAATGGCAATTAGTGAAATCTTCATCTGGGAGCCTGAGGGGAAAGGGACCCTGCCTTGCCAGCTCACTCATCCTTCCTTTTCATTTCTGCAATATTTTTTTTTATTTCTGCAGTATCTCACTTGAACAGTTTGTTGGGTACCAGAGCCCCCTCCCAGCAACTAACTTTGGTGAAAGAGAAGAATGGGATGAAAATCTGTCTTTTCAGACTTTCATTACATAGCATAATAATAGGCAGGAGACACAAACCCATTTTTAAGTCTTTTCCCTGTCGTCTTTTGGAACAGCTGTAAGGCAACAAATCTTAATATAAGCTAGTTTTCTTCATGATTCTCAAAAATTCTTGCTCACTTACTTCTCCATCTCCATCTCGATCAGCTTCATCAATCATTTCCTACAAAACAGAGTATATCTGATCAGGCACTGGGCTTGAATCTAAACTTAAGACCTTCTATTCATTAAAAAACAACAAAACAGAAGTACTTAATAAGAAAACAGAACCATGTATTTTATTATTCTGCACATCTCTAACCTCTCAGCTCTTTCTGTATTGCATGAATTTCCCACCCTGTCCTTAGGAACTCCAGGGGCTGGGAAAGCTCTGGCAAATTAAATTTACCTGAAGCTCTTCATCGGTTAAATTTTCTCCCAGCTCCTTGGCAACCCTTTTCAAGTTTTTGAATGAAATCTTTCCTGTCCCATCATCATCGAATAATCTGAAAGCTTTCAAAATTTCTTCCTTTGAATCCTTTTCACTCTAGAAGGAGAGTAAAATATTTGTTACTTACAAAACACCTGCTAACGTGATACATCCTTTTATAGTATTCTTTATGCTGTCCCAAGATTATATAGATGTATTTTTAAGAACTCCTACCATTTTTTGTGTCATCATAGCCAAAAAGTCTTCAAAGTCAATGGTGCCACTTCCTTCTTTGTCAATATCTGCTATCATTTTCTTAATTTCTTCTTTCTTTGGCTCAAAGCCTAAAGCACGCATCGCAACCTGTGCCAAAAAGCAATTGTGTTAGGAGGCCACCAGAATTCTAAAGGCAGCAGCTACACGAATTTCCTCTTCCAAACTGTAATAACAAGTCACTTTAAGGAAGACATTCTGATAGCTCTTGCCTGTGTGTTTTATCTTTCATATTAGTAATAGAGTAGATTTGATGTTTGTAAGACTCATGTATTGTCTCTTTGGGTCCATGTGGAACATAGATGTATTCTTGAACCTGAGAAACTTTTCGTGTCTAATCTATGTTTCTGATCTACACATTAGTTTTCAGCATGGTTCCTAAAAGGACTGGATTCTCAAAACAGGACTTGGGGGGGGGGGGGGGGGGGGGGGGAGTGCAATCAGGGTTGTAATCTCAATTCATCAGAAATAGCAGGCAGAATGCCTTTTAATTTTGATGTCTTCCGAATTACATGTTATTAACTTATACAGTCAAGTGAACAGATAAAAGAAATCGAGGAGGACAGCTCTTGGCACTTTTGGTTACATGTTCGGGAGTGGGGGCAACTGACAACACTCCATAAATCTTTGCCTCAGTAAATCATCACACAATTACTGCTGGACTAAGGAAAAGAAAAGCAAACTTTGAGTCTTACAGAGCACAACCAAAGTACTGCTATAAAAGTGGGTGTTGCTGTTTAGAGGGTTGTACAAAAGCTTAATGTTGTTTAAACCAAACTCTGCTGTTCTACCAGCCTGCAGCATTTACTTCACTACTGGAAAGAAAAAGAAAAAAAAAAGACTAGTAATTTGCTGGTCCTGGTGTGCCAAGTGATTACAGGATATTTCATTTAGAAACTGAAGTTTCAAGAACATGCAACTTGAGGAGGATTTGTTCAGTTAATATTGATTCCTTCTGTATGACATGCTGGAAACAGTAGCAGAAATGTTCATGGTAAACATTTTTCTATTGGAAAGTGTTAAGTCACTAAAAACTTCACATTTATATGACGTGTGTTTTCTGACTAATGCCTTGTGATGGGATAACTCAAAATATTCTACTTTGTCTTTCAGAGGGGGCCACTTTCTACTGTAAAGTATCCATATTTTGGAATTAATTTTCAAAAAGTAAAACACAGCATGAGGTGGTTGGTGCTACACCAGTTCATTTTAAGAACTATAACATATTAAGAACATATTAAGAACTATATTTTCTATATTTTAAACTTAAAATTAATTAAACTATATTTTCACAGGTATAAACTGTGTTCACATAACACAGTCACCTTAATCAAGTACAAGTACAACCAGATAAATCCTGAATTATTAAGCTACAGTTTAGACAACCCTGTACTTTTAGGTAATGTGTGCAGAAGCAGAGGTAATGTGCTTCTATGTGAGGAATCAAGGTCAAGAAGATAAAATGGTCAGGCTTGGGGAAAAAAAAAATGAGGCGCTGGTAGGGAAATCATAACAGAAAGTAAATTTCCCCTTGTACCACTGTGTGCATGCACACACAGACACTGCCCGAATTCCCAACTGAAGTCCAACTCACATCTCTGTTTTGTTCTTTATTAAATAAAAGAACAGATAATCTGTGGATTATATGTATGAAAAAATAGTAGCATCTTTCCGGATTAAGTGCAAGATCTGTGTGTTTACCTCCAGGATGAAGAAAATGTTTTGTGTTCTGGTATTCATCCTAAAACAAAAGAATTCCAGTTCCCAGAAACAATGGCCTTAGCCAGTCATGAAAACAGAAATGCATACAGTTGGTTCAGGAACTGTTAAGTTCCTCTCATGCCCAGGCATTCAAAACTACCTGACCAATTATGCTTGCATTAGAGAAGTCTGGCAGCTGTCTATTACATACAGGTTTCTCAGGTTATCCGTGTAGTACACCCCAAGTTCAGTCATGGCAGTAAGCATTACTGCTATTCATAAACCAGTAAGCATTAAGCAGTAAGCATTACTGCTTTTTATAAACCAGTATTTTAAAACAGAGCAAGTTAGGCCTGGGCAAACAGAAAAAGCAGCTGCAATCTCGTGACCCATGATATTTCCAATCAAGAAAAAAAAACTTTGAAAACCTTGAGTTCTTTTATATCGATGCTTCCAGATCCATCAGTATCAAACAGATCAAAAGCTTCTCTGATCTCCTGCTTTTGCTCTTCTGTAAGTTCAGGTTTCAAGCCACTTTTCTTTCGCTGGGCTGTACTGAAGCCAGGTTTTCTATAGTTGGACGCCTTCAGAAAGAAGAAAGATGAGAAAGAGCTCACTCAGAAAAAAAGTCAAAATTAAATTATAAGTAACAGTAAAGGTGTAGCAAAGTGAGAAACATTCTTTGCTGCACCTGGTCGACTGCAACTGGGTTTCTATGTGTGTTTTCCTAGATTATTCCAGGAAGAAACCGAGCTGAAGACTTTGTTCTGAGGGAAGAAGTATCCGAGCTTCCCGTGTTCAGCTCTAAGTAGAAAGAATGCCAGTTGAAGAGAATGCTACAGAAAGCGGGAGACAGCCTCAAAATGAACTGCTTATATGGGTCGCGACGGGAAGCGGCACACAAATTTGGACAGTCCTCAAATTCAGTACTGAAATGGGAGGCCTGAGAGCATCGGCTCCGTTGGGGCAAAGGCGTTCGGTGCTTCCCTGGTCGGACTGCAAACCAGCGCGTCCCCGCGGCGCAGGTCTGAGCGGCTGGACGCTGCGGGCCCGCCACGCTCCCCAGGTGGCGACGCTGCGGCCCGGGAGGCAGCGCGGTGAGGGCCCGGCCATCTTCCGCACCCTGCAGGCTCCTTGAGGCGGAGCGGCGCGGGCCGCGCGCAGCCAGCCTGGCGTAGGGGAAGGGGAAAGCGCTCACCATCTGCTTGCGGCCGCACCGCGCCGGGATCACACGGGACGCCGAGACGAGCTCCCTACCGCCGCACGCCTCGACAGCGAGCCGACCAATCGGCGAGCCGGATGTGCTGGAGGCCCGCCCGCCTGCTTCGTCGGGACCAATGGAGGTTCGGTGTGCTCGTGACGCCACGAGTGCGCCGCGCTCGCCGCGCAACGGCGGCGGGATTGCTGTCATGGCAACGGAGTGGCTCTGAGCGCGCGGCTCGGCCCGTCTCGCCGCCGTTGGGCCGCCGCGGGGATCCCGAGGGGCGGGCGGTGGGGGGAGAAGGAGGCCGTAGCGAAGCGCTGAGGAACCGGGGCCTTCCTCCGGCGGGCAGGCCTCTAGCACGTGTGCGAAGCTACGCAAGTGAGTGTGGGGCCCGGCTCTCGTACCCGTCCGGTTCTGTACTGGCGAGTCCTAAAAACGCTGTGTGCGAACGTGACGAGCGGTCCCGAGCCCAGCCGCGTGTCCGCCCTTTGCTTTCGGCCACCTGCTGCGGGACGCGGCGTGCAGGTAGAGGAGGCCCCGTATGCGGCCGCGGCTGTCCTCAGCGCTGGTCTCGTTTGTTGAGCGGCTCTGCGGGATCCCTCCTCACCTCTGCTGAGCTCCATTTCAGCTTTTCCGCCTCGGGCTGGACGGACAAAGAGGTAAGGGGTAGGCGGGGGGGGGGGAGAAGTTAAACGGGGGTCTGCTTTACGTTGATCCCTGGAGCGTGTTCGTTCCTAGCTCCATCTTCTTGCCAAAATAACACGTAAAACAAAAAGGTGGAAAATTGTCTCGATTACACGTGTCAGAGGTTGTGCAAGCAACAAAATACGAGCATACTTTCCTATAAGTGCATGTCCTGCTTTCATCTACTTTTGCAGCCAAGTCGTTGGGTCCATTCAGTGCAGGTTTATGTATCTGCAGGAGAGCAGGCTGGTGCCCAGAACAAAGCTAGTTAGTATGAGTATAAGCTGAAAGTGAAAGACACATTTTTCAAGTAAAATTTCAGAGTGAATTTTAGCTAAGTGTATCCTTTTGGCTGCCTTGAGATTTCAAAGTGCATGGCTTTGATAGCTGCATTAGCTGCGCAATCCGTCTTGTAACCTGCTGTGATTCTCATGGACTCACAGAACTGTATGGGTTGGGAGGAACCTCTAGAGATCAACAAGTCCAATCTCCCTGCTAAAGCATGCTTCCTGCAGCCAGTTGGATTGGAAAGTGTCCATTTGGATCCAAGGGAGGCTGGGCAACCTCTCTGGGCAGCCTGTTCCAATGCTCCATTACTCTTGACAGTAACAAACTTTGTTCCACTATTAGTATGGAACTTCCTGTGTTCCAGTTTCTGCCTGTTTCATTTCTTCATGTTTCATATCAGATTCCATGATCTAATGATTGTTATTTAATTTGGTCATTGTTTCAAAACAGTCTAGTTGTGATTTTAAGTTAAGGTTTCATTTAAGGGCAAAGAAAAAAAAAAAAAAAGGATGAAAAAAAATATTTTTACTGGAAATACTGATGTGGTTGCATAGCATGCCTAGAAAGAAGACTGCCAAGAAAAATTTCCAGAGAAAGGCTTTAAGGAATTTGGATGGATATTTTCAGTAGTGTACTTCCAGTGCAGTTTTAAAGCCAGAAGGAGGGATTGCAGGTAACTACAAAACAATGTAATTTCTTCGTTAATATTTGTTTTGATACTTCAGGAGTATCTAGCAATTGAAGTTCTATTGGCAGTTTGGAGTGGAGTAGAACATGAAGGTTGTTGCCATATAAAGGTTATGTTGATGGCCAATGCTACTCTTTAAATTCCCACTTGGTTTTTTTTTTGAGCTAGTATGTGGATGAACTTTCACTGAGTGTAGTAGCAAAAAAGGTTTTGATTTTGGAATAGTTCTGCGAAGAGACCTTCAGAGAGATGAAGTATTATTTGAATCTGGACAGAAAAGGTGTATGAGTTATGACTTCTTAATTTTTGGTGTATATACTTTTTCATTTAAAAAAAAAAAAGAAAAGCTTTAGCTTAATCCATGTGGTTTCCCACAGGAGTGCGGTGTGGAAAGGATTTTAAGGGAGAGAAAAATTATTTTTGGTGTGTTAAAGCTGAGTAGTCAACCAAAACTTGAAAGACTTAAATGGAGTATCAATGTATGTTAAATGGAATGAATAGAATTTGGAATAAAATAAGTTTTATGTTTTTCCATATTTGAAAGTTAAATTCAATGGCATAACTAATAGTACCAAGATGGATCTGTACCAGGCCAATGGTGTTGTGTATAATTGTCTATTCAGCCCTACCTTTGTTCTAATTCCAGATAACAGGTCACAACAGAACTGAAAGTTCTGTTAGATCTGTACTGTTTCACGTTTAAGAAACCACTGGAATCAATAGCTTTTTACTACCTGTCTCACACACACACACACACACACACACACAAATCCATGATATTTTAGCAGTGCATCTTTTCAGCAAGTCTGTGAGTTGCTGTCTCAAAATAAATGCACAAGATAAAAGATTTTTGTGGAATATGTCACTGGAGAGCTCTGTTCAGTGTTAAACAAAACCCAGGGAGGTGGTGGAGTTGCCTTCCTAGTAGTGTTCAAGAGGTGTCTGGTTGAGGAGCTACGAGATATGGTTTAGAGGCTTATGGTAGCAGTGGTAATGGGAGGGCGGTTGGACTAGATGATCTTGTAGGTCCTTTGCAATCTTGTGATTCTATGGTTCTATTGTATGAAACTGTTAATTTAGTATTTTTTGTGATGTGTTCTCTGGAATACTATGAGGATGGGACAGTAAGTTTGTGTTCTGTTCCCAGATGCTGCGCACTGGCCATGGCTTTCAGGGCTGTGAATTCAAGAAGACATATTGGACTCCAGCAGCTCTCATCCTTGGCATGGGCTGGACGAACATTATTGGGACCTATGAAATCCTGTAAATTTGTTGTGGATGAAAGCACCAACGAAAGCATGTTGATTTGTTCTGCTGTTAGACTGATGGAAAGTTTGGATTTAACTAGTGCTGCTGGACAGCTTCTTAATGAAACCATTCAGGCCCAAAACAAGGAGTTTAAAACTGGGATGAGTACCCTGTTGTTCCTTGTTGGTGCGTGGAGTAATGCTGTACTGGAATGCCTCCAGCAGAATGTTCCTGTTTCAGCAATAGTATCTGTGATGTCTGAGGGGTTGGACTCTTGCTGTGAGAAAGCCCAGTGTCTTCAAATATCAGTACATGATGTAAACAAAGAGCTGTGTTCTAGCAGTGTTAGGCCAAGAACTTCTGAAAGTAAAGTTTCCCAAATTCCATGTGACAGTTCTCTAAATCATCAGATTTCTCTGTATTTTCAGAAAGATATTTCTGCATCAGAAGAACTTGTTCCAAGAAATTCTTGTTTCCCTCAGGAAGCTGATTGTAATTTTAATAAGGGCCTGGTTTGGCCTTTGGCCAGTTTTGGTTCAGTAGCTTCCCTTGTCGGGTCAGTGGATGACAAAAGTACATCTGTGATTTCTGGAAGTGGTGTCTCTGCATCCATCTGTAAGCGAAAAGTATTAACTCACAGCAGATACTTCAGCACCGTAGCAAAAAGCCATGTTTCAAGTCACCTACATGATTCTCAGGTATACCTCTCAGGACAGTCAGCATATACTTGTGAATGTTATGGTTTAGAACACCTTGCAATGACTCTAAGTCATGGTAATCAGCCTAGCATGAAACTGCTTCGAGGCATTGTTGCATATCAACACGAGAGAGCAGAATGTAGTGGCTCTTCCCAGTTCAGTATCGCAGAAATTGCAACATGCTGTTTACCAGGTCTGCCTGAAAGTTACTCTTGTGTTTGCCCAGGTTTTATCACTCTGGTGTCACCAGAACAAGCCACAGTTATCAAATACTTTCAGGACAAATCCCTTTGGATTCTGCTAATGGATGGTGACCTAACCGAACAGTATCGTCACTTGGGTTTCACTAAGCCACGGAATGTAAAGACCGTATTGGAGTATCCTAGCCTACAGGAAGGTGGATCAAGAGACTCGTGGCTAAGCAGTACATTAGATATTCTAATAAGCTTGGAAGTAAACTTGATTTTGGTCAAAGGAGCTGTGTGTAAAAACTTAATGGAAAGATGCATTGCAAACAAAATATTGGTAATAAGTTCTGTGACTCAGAATGTTTTGGGTGCCTTTGGGGAGGTGACCGGTGCCCAGCCCGTGACATACCTCACTCAGCTGAATGCTGCTTGCCTGGGGAGCGGGGTCTGGGTAGAGCTGTGGAAGGGCTGTGACGAGCGTGCAATGGAACTGGGTCAGCTTGTGCCAGTCACGATAAAAGTGCAAAGAATTCCCCTGCTGACAGCCATGCTCACCACCACAGTAGCTTCAAAAATGCAGCTCATTGAAGACCAGTTTTGGACTTTTGTCTATCGACTCCATCATGCTTTAAAGGATGGGAAAGTTTTTCCTGGTGGTGGTGCAGTTGAGTTCTTATGTCTTAGTCACAGTCAGATGCTTGCAGAGCAGTCTTCAAAGCTAGCAGATAAAAATGCTGTGAAGGAGTTTCATAGTCCTAGGCTGGCAGCATCTTCATCAGAGTATAAAGCAATTGTGCTTCAAGCGCTAGCCACTGGCTGGAACCAGTATCTTTCCATGGTTATGTGCAACACTGCAAAAGCAGCATCGGAGTTTGAAGCACATACCTTAATTGATCATCACCTCCAAAAAGCAGCTTACTGTGGCTCTCCCTCAGCATATGTACTGAAAGAGTTCAGAAGAGGTGGTATGTTCAGAGGTGGTTCTATCCCTTTCACTGACAGTGAAGAGGGTGTAAAGGCTTATGATAATGTTACAGCCAAGATGGAGGCATGGCGGAGAGCTCTAGACTTGGTGCTGCTAGTGCTTCAAACGGATGCCGAAATCATCATAGGTCCCAGAAGGAGTCAGCCACATTCATCAAGTGAATTTATGTTTTTGTAGGACTTGTAAGCTTGCTTTTTTTTCTTTTTTTTTTAATGAGTCTGGGAGTCAACGGGTGAAAGAAGTCCAGGTACAATCTACATTTCTTCAAAAAGCAAACATTTAGACGTGGTTAGGGCTTGAGAGTATAATAGCAGGAACCTCCATGTGAAACAGTAACAAGATAGATCTCATTTCCCATTTCTAGAAACTGGAGTTAAATAAGACAAAAATCACGTGTGGGCTAATCTCTAAACCCCAGCCATGTGTTCTTAACTGATGATATTGTCTATATAGCTAGGCTAATCCAGTTCAGCTGACTTTTCTAGCTTTATTTAGCAGAGCAGATGTGCAGTTCTTTTTTTTTTATTATGGAGAGGAGCACTGTGAAGTCAAGTTGGAGAAATGTTAGATTCCTTGTGTAAACTTCCCAACACGTACTGTTTGTATGAGGTGTTTGCAGTCGTATGCCGTAAAGTACTTAATATCTTCTGAAGAGGGGGCTTTCTTACATTTTGTTGGCTTATTTGTCTGCGTTAGACCTAAGAGGTAATTAAGATCATAACTCATAATCGTAATTCATAATTTCTTAATTTCTGTGCATTCCAAGTTAAGCTCGCGATAACTTATGACTGTTACGTCTTAAAATAAGAGGTTGTATTGGGTTGGTTCTGTTTTTGCATAATTGTATGGGCAATATGTTTTCTATTTTGAAATATACCCCTTTGAAATTTCTCAGGTTTCTGTATAAATTCAGGCCGAACCCTCCCCTTTTGTGTTACAGAGTGGATATAACTCTACACAGTTTTGTTTCAGTAGCAAGTTGGATTTCTAGATTATTTCCTTTAGGTTCTGTCAGATAGCCTTGTGGAGAAGAAAAGTGTAATTATATCAGCTGTTTCTTAAAAACTGACAGTGAATCTTACCTGAATGGTAGAGGCACAGCCATGGTACTGTGTGTCTCAGCACTTAAAACTGAAAACAGAATAATTCAGAAGTGGCACTTCGTTGCAAGAAAGAGGTTTGTAATATATGTTTGTAAGAGAATATTTTTTCTGAAACTAGCATTTTACACAGTGATGTGTTGGGTGAAAACAGAGAATGGGAATGGTCATTTGAAGAGAATTAGGAATTCACTTCAGGAGTTGATCCTCATTAAAATGCTGATGGCTAGCAGTACTTGGCTTAAGCACTTACCCATTCTGAGTTCTGGTGACAGACAGTCCGGTGGTGGTGAAATCTAAGAATTGGGGTGGGCTGAAGAATATGTTTTCTGGGTCCTGATTCCTCCGGGCTTACTTTCATTGTCGTATGTCTTCACCACAGAAGATGCTTTGGAGAGGAGCCGTCAGCTGTGTGGAATCCCTGTGCTCTTTGGCAGTGCCCCAGCACTTCCGATTCCTGATGGAGTTGCTCCTTCTGCTTGGGAAGGCCTCTCTTCTCTACCTATGTGTTTCATGGTGCCAAATTCCAGAGAGTTTGAGTTTACGGAAAGGAAAGACAGTTCCTAAACTGTTTCTCCCATGGTGCCAACCATCAGCCTGCAGCAGCCTTCTATGCTGTATGTTTTTTAGCAAATTCTGTATGCAGCTCTTTCACAGAGCTGTTTGTCAGAGTGGTTTATGCTAAGTGAATGACTGTTTTATTTAGTATGTAGGGCAAGAAAAGACACAGATAATGAAGTTCATCCTTAAATGTTGTAGGTGCCTATAGATGCATTTGTGTATGAGTTATGTTGTGTGTTATGTTGGTGTGTTTTCAAATGTTGCATTGAGAGCTCTTGTTGCTGAATTTAACATCTATGTTTTCTAATTGAATGTAAATGGAAGAAGGCCTTTTGGAAGGCTAAGGGAGCGTATGAATTGCAGTTACTTTTTGTAAATATCACAAAACAACTTTTCTGTTTGTGGAAAGCTATGCTCATGTTATTTGGCCACCACTCATCTGAAAGTATGTGTATTTTGCTTTTCTTACTAACTCCACAAATCAGCTGGTTTTGGTAAAATCTCATCAGTAATATGCAGGTTTGAAGGAAAAGTTCTTAGCACCATACGGATCTATTTTGAAGTTGTGATCATACTGCAATTATGTTTTAATTATTAGTCAGTTGGCCGTTGTAAGTGCTAGGTCACACATCTCAAGACATCAGAGAAACCAGTTTGAAAACCAGCACAAGAAAGATGTGGAACTCTTGGAACGGGTCTATAGGAGGGCCACTAGGATGATCAGAGGGCTCCTATGAAGAAAGGTTGAGGAACTGGGCTTGTTTAGTTTGGGAAAGAGAAGGCTCCGGGGAGACCTCATTGTGGCCTTCCAGTACTTGAAGGGAGCATTTAAACAAGTTGTGGATATGAGGGAGGATTATGAGGGTGGATAGTGATAGGACAAGGAATGCTTTTAAACTGGGGCAGGGGAGGTTTAGATTAGGTATTAGGAGGAAGTTTTTCACACAGAGGATGGTGATGCAGTGGAACACGTTACCCAAGGAGGCTGTGGATGCCCCATCCCTGGAGGCGTTCAAGGCCAGGCTGGATGTGGCTCTGGGCAGCCTGGTCGGCTGGTTGGAGACCCTGCACACAGCAGGGGGGTTGAAACTTGATGATCGTTGTGGTCCTTTTCAACCCAGGCCATTCTCTGATTCTATGAGAAATCAAAATTTTAAAGGAGCTAGAGGATGTAAGGGGAAAAAAGAAAGGGAAACCCGATGTATAAATAGAGACAAACTTTGCTTCTTTGCAGATGTTTGCAGCTCATGTTTGGCTTTACTGTTTTTCTTGAGCCTCCTGTACTTAGTGTTGCATAATCCCTGTTTCCAAGAAAAGATCCAGTTGTACTTCACTTGAATAATAGAGTTAAGTGGATTATGGAAAAACTTCATACATGAATTGTGCTGAAGTGGTCCAAGTGTCTATTTATAAGGCTGTAAGGCACTGCGAGCTGACGCACCAAGTGTTGAGAAAATCCAATGATGTCATTTTTCCAATCAGGCTATTTAAAAGTACTTAATGGTGTATTTGAATTCTGCAAAGCAGAGGTTTTCTGAAAAGCTCTCAGACATAACATTTTGATTATTTAACAGTTGCTTTTCTACAGGCCAACAAAATGGGAAGTTTTAAAAATTTTGCTGGATGCTGTATATAAAATTGTCTCTTTGATTTGCATAGAAAATAAAGGTGCACTGTCTTTGAGGCATCCTCCTTCTGCAATGTGAAATCTGATACACGTATGGATACCTCAGCACCTCATCTCTAAAACCTTGCTGCTACAACATGGAATTGGTCCCGTGCACGTGTCTGGCATGATTTGACCTAGTGTGGGGAATTATGCCATCAACTGCCACTGCCAGTTTCAGCTTTACCCTTGGCAGATGTTCCTCAGCCATACACAAAGGTTTTTTGTATAGAATATGATGTGATGGAAGAGCTAAGCTTTTATATTTGACGTGCTGGGGATACTGGAAGACAGAAGAGATTTTAGAGCAGGAATTGTCTCAAGAAGTAGGCAGGCCATGACTCTGCTGGAGCCCTGTCCCTATTGGATGCCTGGTTCTGCCACTGTGCTACTTTGAATGGAGGGAGTCCAGCAGCCCTCTTCAGCTCAGTTCCATACAAGTAAAACTAGAGCAGTATGACACGAATTTAGAATGTAAAAAATCTCAGACTTCTGCCACTTGCTGCCAGGGTTGCTGTGTTAACTAACTAGTTATTGCAAAGATGCAGGAGCAGAGCATGTTCTTTCCAGGCAGTGTGTTACTCTGGTGTGATTGTGTCTGCACTCCAAATGGGCTTTCTCTTTGCAGATTACACTGCTCCAAGAACCAATGTCTGCAGCAGTGATTTCTGTGCAGTAGAAGGGAGAGGAAGAAAAGCTCAGGCATGGACAAACTGGTTTTGATCCTAAATGGTGGAGGCATGAAAGAACAGTATTCTATTTTGGCTTTCTGTCTGTTTATTCCATTAGTAATACCCATTTCTTTAGAATTTGGAAACACCCACAGTGATGGCAGTGCTGTGATTCTGTTTGTTGCATTATGTTCCTGAAAGCCTTGTTATTTCCGCTGCTGTTTCCATTTTGAAAGAAGCTATTAGCATCTGTGTCTGTATGTGCAAGCTTTGCAAATGCTGGGCTGTATATTGCACAGTGCCCAGCAGAGCTGGAACTGTGTTATGTACATTACAGTAAGCCTTGAGAACATAGAACTGGGAACCTCTGGCAAATACTTGCAGATAGCTCAGGGACTAGGTAGCAGTGTGTCATCAGAGAAAAGAAACAATGCCTGAGGCACAGCTGCACTTCTGCAAGTGCTTCCTCCCCAGGCACGCAGTGTGCATTTCAAGACTTAGCAGAGGAACATCAATGAAATTAATAGTCACGTGTCTACAATGTTGAGCACCTTGGTGGACTCTGAGAAGCTAATTTTTCTTAGAAGGGAGTTTCTAGTTTTTGCTGTTCAAAGTGTAAACACCAGTCAGTGTAAACAGCAGTCACAGTGAAGTTTCCTGCAGACTGACTAACTGGTGTGTGATCTTCATGAGCTGAGCGTTGACCACATTGCTCACCATCTCCTTACCTTAACGCCTTTGAGCTCAAGGCACTGAACTCCCAGAGGACATGATGAGGAACATCCTGAACAGTGGAGAGGACATTATGTAATAGCTTGGTGGCTTGGCATGGCCATGTAGAAATGTGAGTAGTGAACTTGTCAGCGCATAGATTTACAGGCTGAACAGAGCAGCAGTCGTCAGAGTAGTTGCTGAAGTGGGGAGCACATGGGCAAACCTCAGGGCAGATGTAGACGTGGTAGTTTGTAGTGGAGGAAATGACAGTGTCCTCCTTGTCACACACAGCTCAGGGAGGCACAGAGGCAGTTCAGGAAAGAGGTGCTTCCCAGCATGAAGGGAAAAAGTAGCTCCCTAATTTCTCCCTCTACTAAGGGAGGCCCTTGGGGAGTGGCTTTGTATTACATTTAAGCGAACCCAATGTTTACCAGCACGGTCCCTGGAAGCCACAAGTTTCTATGTCACTCAACAAGTGGGTCTTGGAATAGATGTCATGCAGCTGTAGCCACATGAGCCAGCTCACTCCACTGGAGGCACAAGAAAACTGCTGTTAGGTTTTCACTGGTGGCCAGGATCCCTTTTGTAATAGGAAGGTACCTGGAATGTTGCTTTCAATAGAGGAATGTTGCTAGAACAGTGAGAGCTGAGGTTGCTCTGCTTCATGGAGACGTTGCATCAGTGAGTTTAGGGCTACTGCACTCTCAGCTATACTTTTTGCGAGGATGATTCTTTTAAATGCTTAGTTAAAAGGCAATTGGATTGCTAGCTTTCTGATGATTATATAATAAGCATGTCATCCTTCAGAGTGGAAATATACACATGTTGTTGATAAATATACACCTGAATTTTAAAATGTCTGCTACAAGATTACATGGTGGTGCTATCCTTTTATTAAATCTATCATTAAATCTAACATACAGTAAAGAGATTCCAAGTAGGGTCGGGTAAGAAACACTGCTACAGCATAGATTTCCAAGTCTCTAGAGTTACTTTAAAGCTGTTTCAGGGGACACAACAAGGACAAGAGACATGTTTGGGAGGAATTCTAGCATGCTTTTCAGCGGGTTGGAAGGGAAAGGCTGGCCCTGATCATATACAGATGGTGAAAGAGCACGTGGGCAGGAGGGGAAGCAAGAAGGGAAAGCCTGTACTTGGTTTCCCTGCCTCACACAGATTC